TTCGAGGGAGACAAGCCCTACCATGACCGACAGAGTGAACTTACAGTTCATCAAGGTTGTATCCTTTGGGGAATGAGAGTGGTCATCCCTAGCAAGTTGCAAGAGAGAATTCTGCGAGAGCTACATGATAGTCATTTGGGTATCGTCAAGATGAAGGCCCTATCACGAAGCTATGTGTGGTGGCCAAACATCAACCAACAGTTGGAGAACGTAGCGAAAACCTGTAGTGGTTGTCTACAGAACCAAAAGATGCCATCCAAGGTATCCTTACACCCATGGGAATGGACCACTTCACCATGGCAACGTGTATATATTGATTATGCTGGTCCTTTTAAGGATACTATGTTCCTGGTGGTGGTCGACGCACACAGCAAGTGGCCAGAAGTAATTCCTATGAAGTCGACAACCGCAGCGAAGACCATTGAAGTACTACGAAATTTGTTTGCACGATTCGGAATCCCGGAACAGATTGTCTCCGATAATGGCCCCCAATTCGTCTCAGAAGAATTCCGGTCGTTTATGAAATCTAATGGAGTAAAACACATCACCTCTGCCCCATACCACCCTGCTACAAATGGCCTTGCAGAAAGATCAGTGCAAACATTCAAGTTAAATGGAAGAAAGTTCGAAGCCAATTCAAGAGAAGTTAGCAAAATTTCTTATAACCTATAGAAATACCCCACATTCAACAACTGGAGAGAGCCCAGCACAACTTATGCTTGGCAGGCCAATACGGACACGTTTAGACTTAGTTAAACCTAATCTGAACAGGAAGATGGTGATCAAACAACAGGAGCAGAGCAGGAAGTCGGCCAGTGCCAAGAACAGAGCAACACGGCAGTTGGAAGTGGGAGACATGGTAATGGCACGTGATTACCGAGGAAATCTAAAGTGGAGATCGGGAAAGGTCATTGAAAGGATCGGACCTTTGATGTATAAGATCGAAGTGACATCGGGCGTAATCTGGCGCAGACATATTGACCAACTGCTGCCAACCGAAGTTAAACTAAGCACAATACAGGACAGGGAGCAAACTGCGAATATGGGAGTAGTGCAGCCGGAAGTGATATCCAGTTCAAGTGAACAGACGTTGCCAATAGTAGCAGCAGACTTGCAAGTGCAACAGGGCTCCAGCACCCACGAACTTGTAAATGAGAGCACTACAGAGACATCAATGCCTCTGGCGACAACGAGCGAACAAAGATATCCAGAAAGAGTGAGGAAACCACCTGTGAGACTTGATCTCTAAAGTAGCAGTGTTACGGACAGATGTAGGGGTTAGAACGTATATTTACAGTATATAGATATACAGCAAAGACTGTTAATTATGACTTTAATGTTAATGTTATGTGCAGCAAAGACTGGATATTGACTGAACAATTTTTAGTAGGGAGGAGATGTTATGGGTTACCTATGTTATTAGGATGCGCGCGCATCCACCATGTGTTCGGGATGAGTGCTTCTTGTTGAGTTATACACGAAATATAATATAGCTATTTAATAGAAAGCAAATACACAACAATATCGATACCAATACCTGAAAAAAATGCAAATTAAAAGAACTTCGACATTTGGAACGAAGGCCCTTCGTCTGGAAACTATACTTCTTAAATTTACGTCGAAGTTCTTTTTGTATTTTTCAAGTAGTTGTATTTTCTACAAAACTCCTATAGTGGACTTTATAAATATTTAGTTAATAGGAAATAACACCTAATTGGATGTCATTTTTGAGCCATTTGGGAACCAGGTGAGTTTTCCCGCGCAGAGCGAAGACAAGTGATTGAATGTGATTGGTTAGCGAAGAAATTTGCCGCGAATTTCTCGCTTCTTTTAATTTTGTGCGACTAAATCGCATGGTGGAAAACTGACTTAAGGTTCTAGTAGTGCGAACTACAAAATTGCTGCAACAAAAACTGATTCGAACTCATGTTATTCAGTAGGGGTTTTTCCAATGTTGTCTCGTGTTTTGTAACTTATGCGTCAACATATTTGGTTTGCAACAATTTTCTTGCTCTTATTACTTCATCTTACAGCACTTGTGGTGTCGTGGTCACCAAGCTGGCCTTCCAAGCCGGAAGACCCTGGTTCAATCCTTGGTTGAACCTCTACTCAAGGTCATAGAGTAACTGAGGAGAAAGAGCTACCTTTATCTTGATTTCAGTAAATGTTAGACTCTATAGACGAAGTTAGACTATCACGTCGTCACGGATAAGGACTGCAACTATTGTAGGTAAGGTACCTCGGATCCCCCATCAATTGGGCAATGGACTGTTTGGAATATAATAATAAACAATTATTGGATTCTGCTTTCACATGATATCAATCAAGAATTATTCAGACTTCGGTCAATGTTATAACATTGACCTCGACTTGAATAATTCTTGATGTCATGCTGACATGCTTAGCCTCATCCAATAATTGTTTACTATATGCGCTCACTATAATGAGTGAGAAACCGCAACAAACTCAATAAACCCAAACCTTTATTTTCTTGCGCGGTTTGACAGTGATCCTTTGATTTTTATTCTTACTCTTCGATCTATATATAAGTAATAAGAAAACTTTCAAATCGGTTTTGCATGGTGCCATTTCACCATCTCAGGGGGAAGGGAGGGGGGGATGTGCGACCTATATATATCTCTGCAGGGAGGAGATGCTAAATAGTCCACTGTGGAATTAGAACCAAAAACTAGAACCAATTTAGAACTAATAGAACAAAAATTAGGACAAATTTGATAAGAAAGGGGTCGATGCCAGATTGAGGGTAAGGCGTTTAATTAACAGACTGTGGGTTCGATCTGAAATTAGAACCATTAAACGAGGAATCCATGTGACAATATTGTCATCTGACAATCCGAGTTGGGCTGAGACTTGAGGGATTTCATGAAGTTTTGATATGTTGCTGTTATGAGATCAAGAACAGGCTTGTTTTAAGATGTGTCTTGATAATAAGTTTGATATTTCAAAGTCATTGAAGTCACCAAGGAAAACTAGTCCGCAATTGGGATATAGATTACATAGGGTGTCAGCGGTAGTAGTTAAATATAGTAATTTAAGAGATGGTGTTTATATTCAGGAAATACTGGTGGATGGTAAACAACACAAACTGCAATACCTGGAAGAGGTCTGGGTAGGCGAGTTGGGCGTAGCCAAAGCCACAAACACTCAAAATTATTACTTTCAAGATCTATTCGACGTTTATCAGGGATATCCTCTGATAGATAAACGCAAATTCCACCACCACGACAGTAAGAGCGGTCCTTTCAAAAAAATATATATTATACCCACAAATTGAGACAAGGTTGTCCTCTATATCCTCACTCAATCATTATTCCGTTACTGCCACCAAATTAACTGGGTTCACGACCAGCTTTGCAGTTAGTTCATCGACCTTTGGTGAGAGAGAACGTGCATTTATCAAAGAAATTTTTGGGAACGTCATTTTCTAAATTTTATTTGTTTTAAGAAATTTGCTTCTTCATCGCGTTCACCGGGACTTTCACGGGCAGTATCATCAGCTTGTTTCTTGTTTTTCTGATTTAGCAAGCAAGGTTTCAGCTTTAATGTCGAATCGCGTCCGGTGTGTCTCGGCCTTTACGCTGCCCTTTCGACTCGCTTTCTGAAGAGTCTACCTACCGGATAGTCTCGTTTGGCAGTAGCGGTAGACTTCCATATAGCTTGCATAAAATTGGTTAATGCAGCTACGTTATTGGTCAAGGTATTGTAATGATCTTGAAAAAATCTGGGCTTTTATCCAGAGTTGTGTCTTGTTCTTCTTCTATAATTTAATCGGTCTTCAGGATCAACAAGATCTTCCGCCACAATGCAGACATTCCTAAAGACGTCTGATCTCAACTAAGTTTCTTTTGCAAGTGATCTGGCCAGCTTCGCGCGCATATCTCACGTGACTCCTTAGCGACAATAACCAAGTTTCTTTCGACCAAGTACACGAATACAACAGAAATATGTAAGAGGTGGACGATTAGAAAAGTAATTGGGGAGAGTGGAGAGGGATTTTCAACTTGCAGGAATTTTATTTGGTCGTCTGCTGGTGATGGATTTTTCTTTCTCGGAATAGACAACTTGCATGTTAGACTAAAGAATTTATTAAAATCAGTAAAATTGCAAAATTTGGTTACGAAATGTTGTAAAATGCAGAAAATATAGCCTTGCGAAGTTTGCATATTTTCAGTATGTTTGCATTACGTGCGGAAATTGTTACCATTTTTGAGCCGAAAATGGTAACGATTTCCGCACGTAATACAAATATACTGAAAATATGCAAACTTCGCAAGCCTATATTTTCTGCATTTTACAACATTTCGCAACCAAATTTTGCAATTTTACTAATTTCATTATTTTCTTTTTAACTGTTGTTTTATTCACTTCTCATTACTTATAGATTAAAATTTAGTCTAACATGCAAGTTGCCCATTGCAGAGGTGTTTTTCTTTTTTCCCTCTTTGCACGAATTTTCTTTGCCCCCGCCAGCATGCTTTTCTGACGGTCAACCCTCAATTACAAGAGGAATTATATATCTTTGCGCGTCTGACGGCTGTGTTATTTACCTTATTCCATAAACAACAAAAGCAGTTATAACTAATATATAATACTTTACAGACAAATTAAATTTTACTTCCAGCCATTATCGAAATCAAATTCTTCCAATACATTCTTTACTTTTGTGTTTAAACAGATGCGAATTGATTGAGCGGTCAACTGGAATATTTTATTACATATTATACTTTAAATATTAATTCCTAGCTCAGAAATCCCGAGAGAAAGGGCAAACGTTTGACATCAAGATTAGTGCCATAAAAGATGGAGGAATAACTGAGAACTACCAGGTGGAGGTACTATTTAGAAATATCATAAAACATTTTTTAAAAAATTTTCCGGATGTCAAGAATGAAACAAGTGACAATAGACTTCAATCAAGATGTTTATTCTGCCTGGGAAAACAATATTTCTCACTCATACCGTAGTTACGTTAAACTGTTGCTAACATTTTATCTTCAGATATCCGAGATGACGACACTCGTTGGCTTCTTTTTACGGTAAGAATTACTGATAAATGGTAGTATTAGACATGGAAATCTTAAACCTGGTCATGGTAAAGGAAAGCATATGGATATTAATAGTTGTCAACATGAAAAATCTTTCTTGTCGCCTTCTAGAAGGCGACGTTTTTTGTTGTTTTTGAGACTGACGAGAACACAACATGGTTTTTAATAACTAGAACGAGGTCAATGTCTCAAATTCAAAGATTTCAAGCATGCAGGTTAGAGAGTTAATATATAAGATACCTCTCAGCTTTGACTCACTCGAGCGTTATTATTACCCGATACACAGAAATAAACATATCGCTCGTGTGTATAAGGAAGCAAAAAACTTTAAAAAGCTTGTGTTTTGTCATATGTGCATGTTGAAGATTACAACCTGATCGAAACACCGTTTTTAATCCAGTCCCCCCTCGGCAATCTGCATGACGTCCGTGTTGACGTCGCTTGCTTTAAACTTTTTAAACTTCGCTTCTTATACACTGGACTCTGGAGTACTGCATGGATACATTCTAAGTTTTTCGTGGATGCAGTTTCCTCTCACTGAAAAGAATGTTGCATGTGTTATAATAACAATACAATAACTGTGGTTAATTCTACCTATATGGCTATATAGCCAAGGCGTCGGGTTTGTCTGGGGAATAAAAGAACATGTAGCCTATACCTTAGTCGTTCTTATGTTTCTAGATTTATAATTTTCGTTTCGTTGGCACTCTTAATCAATGGACTCGAGATAAGTTTGTCAAAACGACGATGTATACTCCCAGGCATTACTCGCAACTTAGAACCTGCATCACGCCTAGAGAACTCAGATCATCACTCACTACATGACGGTGGCTTGGTTTCTTACGATGCTCCGAGCAACTCATGTAAACAGAGATACATTGTTCCTGTTGTTTGGCACGTTATCATTGATTTAAACAAGCGTGGCGACGTGTTAGATGCCATTTTACAACGACAAATCGATATCTTAAATGGTAATCTATTATTTCGAATACGTGATTTCGATCATTAAATGATATATTCTAAATTGATCAGCGTTAATATACCCTTCATAAACCTGATATTAATCTGTAATTAATAAAAAATCACAATATCCTTAATGCAACCCTCAATAGTCAATATATTTATACCTTCATTGCTTCAAGTAATCCTAATTCTAACCAGATATATTCTAGATCATTACGTTCTAAATTATATTATCAAAAACTTTTCAAACAAAAAAATTATCAAACAAAAAAGATGATAGAATTATACAAATTTACCTGAAATTTCAATTCTTGTGTATCAATTCGGACGGCAACGATAAAAAAGTTTACTTTACAGTACTTTAATTAAAGTCACACATTTTTTGTTGTTTTACAGGGGCATTCGAAAACACTTCGTTGATATTCAAAACAGTAAGTAACACCTGCTAAAATTAATAAACATTAAATAATTGGAATGGCACGATATGAAGAATCCAGTCAATTTCCATGCTCTCCTCCTCTGACTGGAAAAGCCATTCATTATATATTTTCCAGGAATCGGTGGAACGAATCATGAACGAGACTTGGAGCAGTGATTGTCTTTCCTATATTCCACAATTCCAAGAAATCCTGGCCCAATCAACCGACATGAAACTAAATCTTTACACATGCGCATTAAAAAACCTTAATGTGCTTGGTCATGCCTCATATCCTTGGTCACATGACGAAGACAGTGTTTATCACGGGGTGGTTATTCACCCGGGTACATTACCTGGTGGGGCAATATCACCTATAAACGAAGGAGACAATCTTGTTCACGAGGTGGGTTTTTATAATATCGGCGAAATATTACCCCCGGCCAGCGATGTATCATCACTACTGAGGGTAATATTTCACCGAATCCCCCTAGCGGAGGGTCTATAAACGATACATTATACCGAAAGTTGAAGAACCTACTAGTTGAGAATAAACTTGTTGAATAACTAAGCGAAATACAACCATGAGATATTATATCTCGCGTTGCATTGCGAAATCATGAATTTGAGTGAAATACCGTAAAAATCACATTGTCACGTGGTACAAATGCTGTTTCTTGATTGGACAATTTGTGTTTGAGGTATAATATTGTCAAACTATATAATCTTGAACGGTGTCAGTGTAGGTATAGTGCTATAATAGGAAAGCTGGGGATTGATAGGGATGTTACTACTGCAAAATATAAGCAGAACTTCGACATTTCGAGCGAAGATACTAACTTCCAGCTCTTTTTTTATACTTCGTATTAACAGTTGCCACAGCATGTCTCTGCCAAGAACTTTCTTTTTACATCGACAAAAACCCTTCAGAAACTCATATTACATATAGTCTATAGATACAGGGCTAATGAAGACGTTTTGACCATCCACGAAATCCAGTAACTCTGGCCACATTTCGTTCTCTTTTGTAGGTTGGCCATTATTTTGGTTTACTTCACACTTTCGAGGTAATACAAACTATATCCACCAGGGCGATTATATAATCGCTCTGATACCTACATAGAAATACCGAAGAGAGAAAAATGGTGGGCGTATCGAAATTCGGCCATCTTTTTTACACCATGGCAGTCTATTTCGCCCTTATTTCTATATACTGCACAGGATGAATATGGCCGAGGTGATACCGTAATAACTAAGAAAATTATACTACTTCGGGAACCGTGGAATTCCATTTAAAAAATAGGCTACCTTCATGTGTTTTCCTCGCCCCGTCACTTTTAAACGAGCGCCAGTCAAGAAAGGCCTGGAACTAACCAAGGAATAGAAATTCAGTTTGCTGCGCTTCTTAATTTCGCAATTCTAAGAAAATTTAAAAAACATTTGAAACATGTTTTAGTGATGAAAAGTCCATGATAAATTTGGGAACAAACTGAAATATATTTTATGAAATATCAAGTAATTGTAATCTCGGAATGTTTGTCTGCTTACTCTGTCCATCACATGCGCATGTCTCTGTTACAGGGTGGTTGTGAAGGAGGTGATAGTGTAGCAGATACACCTGCCACAGCATATCCATCTTACGACTGTCCTGATACAACACCACTTGATTCCTGTCCTCACAAACCTGGATACGATCCTGTTCACAACTACATGGGATGTAAGTATTTACACAGTTCGTCTACAGAACTCCACTTCGTATGTTGAAATGAAATATTTATTCTTAACATTCGACATAGTACGTCAACCCAGTTTCTCGGCAATTTGTGAAACCTTAAAAACACCAGGCATTACAGAAACAGAAAGTAAAAAACAAAATTTTAAAAACAATACTCAATAGTAGATATCGATCCAATAAGGATCATACCGAGTGCCGGAAAGCCAGTTTAAAAGATTACAAGTAGACTACATTATTCTGGAGCCCCATGGTGAAAAATATCGCAAGATATTTATGATGTACCAAAGAATTGTAAAAATAAACATTCTGTTTTGTAGATAATCAAGATTCATGCATTAATCATTTTACTCCTGGTCAAGTGGAGAGAATAGACAAACTTCTTGGATTGTATCGCAAGAATCTCAAGAGACTTACAGAAAGTATAGAATTACATCAGCTTTTATCTATAATAGGGGGCTTAAAGCCTGGTTTCCATATGGCCGTAATAATAGTAAATATAGAGTTACGATCTTTCTCAACGCCCAGTTTATAATAACATAAATATTCTCTAGTTCTAAGTTCTAAAATGTTGTATTTCGGCTGATGAGAAAGATCGTGACTTAATCTTTACGACCGTTATATGACCATATGGAAACCTGGCATAAGATAAAATCTTAGATGAAATCTGGCATAAGATGTTCTTCATTGTCTAATCTAGGACGCGGATGTCACCAATTATTTATGTTTTACTCTTGGATTTGTAACCAGTTTAAATTTTTGTTTTTCATCTGTACCGTGTTTGTTCACAAAAACATTCCATAGCTTTCGCTCATGCATGTTGGTGACACGCTGAATTTAGCGTGTTTGTCGTCTCGTCCACGTACTAGATTTACCAGGTCATCACCTCTCTAATATATCATGAAGAACAGCGACAGCGTTGTCAGTGTATTTCATTATCCGTAGAAAGTTAACGCACTTTCTTCGCAAACCAGGGTCTTGATCAATGTAAACCTACGATTCCGGTGCAGAACTCTGATCACTGAGCTTCAGAGTCAAGTTGAATGCCGAGCATACATTAAACACAAGTTTATTTATATATATACTACCGTGATGATCGAACGGTCTCTGCCAGCGTAGCTAGTGACAAAAACACCAGAAAAATGAGGATTGATAAGGATTCAACTACCTGAAAATAAAAGTAAAACTTCGACATTTATATAAACAACCATTTCGATATAAATCATCTTGATTTTCCTCTACCATCACAGGACCATGTGTGATCGACTCAGTTTTCCGTTGGGCGGATGGTTATATTTATTTCTTTGCTGGAGGAAGTTACTATCGTTACGACGAAATATCACGTGGTATTGATCCCGGCTATCCGCAAGCAATTACCGAGCACTGGCGAGGTGTTCCGAACAATATCGACGGTGTATTTCGTTATGCAAATGGTATTACGTATTTCTTCAAGGGATCAGAATATTACAGATTTAATGACAGCAAACTTCAAGTTGATTCGGGGTATCCTAAGAAAATCAAGGAATTTTGGAAAGGAATACCAAATGGTATTGATGATGTCGTAAGGTATTTCAATATCCTTTTGTTAAACTAAACACCAGGAGCCGGATGTTCAATTCTGCATGGATTAGGGCTAGCCATGCATGGGTTAAATTTTTGTTGGCAGGTAGGTATGGAACTACCTGAAAAATATAAAGATGCAACAACCTGAAAAATACAAGGAGAAATTGGGTTAAATTTTAACCTGCTTTTTGGTTTGCGTATTTCTGCATGTCTGTTTATATTTCAAAACTTCCAGAAAATAAAAATCCCGTTGATCCAGAGAAGATTTCTGGAAAAGTATTTCTACGTTTATAAACAAGCTGCTGGAAAGATTGCTTTAGAGATTCTGTTAACCAAGAATTAAGCTAACTGGTAATAAAACTGAACAAACGGCCCGAAAAGGTGATTTTAAGTGATATATACCAAAGTATAGAAGCGAGGTAATGCGTTATATGCGCATCCAAACAGCGGCAAAACTAACACAGAAATACGCGGATATGAGCAGCACACTGATTTGAACATACAGAACACACAATAGATCCAAGCAACTATGACGTGCTCGCAACAACCGAGTCCAAATTGAAACCAGGATTGATTTTGATATAAAGGACGTAAAGCGTTTTACAAGTTTCCACAGCAAATTATAAGATGCAATGGAAGAACTGATGAGCAATTACATAAATGACATTATTTCTCTACTTAGTCTACTAAAAACATGGTTATCAGCCAAACATTAATATCGAGCAAACTATAACTCCCCGGTTGGAATGGAGATGGTTAGGTACCAACGCACTTTGGATTATAAAATTACTTCATTACACAGAGAGAAATCGATAGAAACTCTGAATCTACCTCAGTATTTCTTCTCCATTCAGATACAGCAATGGCATGACATATTTCTTCAAAAACGATCTTTACTATCGGTTCAACTCAAGTACTGCAACACTAGACATAGGCTACCCAAAACAAATGAAACAATATTGGATGGATATACCAAAGAAAGTCCAGGCAGCATTTACCTGGTATAATGGTGGAGTATTCTTCTTCAAAGATTCCAAATATTGGCTTTTTGTTCCGGGACAAAACTCCGTAGACATTGCTTATCCAAAGTCAGTGAAGAATTGGTGGAGTGAAGAGGAACAAAAATATCAAGATTATAACGCATTCAGGTAGGTCAATGAAATATATCTATTCTTTTTAGATACACGTGATATACACCAGTATTAAGATGACGACATTTGCCAATACACTGATTGATTGAACGTTTCCAAGGAAAAAGTGTAAGCATACATTTAAATAATGTATTTATCTACTTTTTCACATTCCAAATGTTATATAGTTTGCTGGAGCACGGAAAACGATAATTACATTAAAACTAATAATTGTTCAGTAAAACACGAAATTAAAATGAATATTTTAACAAAGTTTCATAAAATGCAAGAATTGATCAATTGATATTGTTAATAATAATTTCCTGGGGTCAGTTGTTCAAAGTTGGACTAGCGCTAACCCTGGGTTAAAATTTAACCCGCTGTTTCGGTATTTTAGCAAGTCTGTTTATTTCAAAACATTAGAAAATAAAACTGCAATCTGTTAACCAGAAAAAAATTCTAGATGTTTAAAAACAAGCTGTTGGGAAGATTGCTTTGAAGAATTTGTTAACCTTGGATTGAGCTAACCGACTTTAGAACAACCGGCCTCTGGTAGGTTTGCATACATTGTTTTGTTCTGAGGAAAAGCTTGGGTACATATATATTTTCCTTCTTTTTCAGACACCTGAACGGTTATACATACTTTATATGTAACAAACAATACTGGCGTTACAACGATTTGAAGAATCACATTGACTACACATATCCACATCGTTTGAGCAACTGGATAAATCTCCCAGCTAACATTGATGGTTTGTTTGTGTGGTCTGATCGTCAACTGTATGCTTTCAGTGGAGAATTTTACTATCAAGTTGTTTTCAATGTAACGCATTCAATCATTCGTAGAAACATTTCATCTTTTTGGCATGGGGTACCAAGTCACATTGATGCTGTATTCAGGTGAGTATAAGTTTCTTGCGAATGGTCCCGAGGTCAGTGTTGCCTGGACAACTTACTGCCTCAGCATCATGCTTATTTTGCCATGTATGTAATATTTGTACATGTTAGTTTAATAATCTTACTCCATATCAATAACCTCTTTAACAAAAGGCCAGATAACATTCAACACTCAGCAGGGCTAAATATAACGACCGATCACCGGTCATTGACCGGCAGTCACATTTCTGCTCTGGCAACGAGATTGATTTTTGAGATATTGTAGACCCGTTAAAAATAATGTGTCAATTTGTAAAGGCATCTTGGTCCTGATGCTGTCTCGCCACTAGTCGTTGACACGGCCGTACAACTATATTTACGATTTTTAGAATGTCATTATTAATTATTCTTTGGATATTTGGGACTTTTTCGGCATATAGGCCTACTCCCCCCCTCCCCCCCGGTGAAAACGTCCTGCGTACGGCCCTTCTCTTTGAGGATCAAGTTGTAGCGCATAAGTACCAGAATAGTAGTATATAATATTATTTTACCACTTTGCGTTGCATTTCGTTTTGATGCAAGTTGACCGGTCAAACATCGTGTTTGTCCCGTCCAACTGAGCAGTCACCATGACCGGTGTATCGTTGACCATTATTTTGAGCCGTGCATTAGAGTGACATTCCATTTACTGGAATATCATAACATCTAATATCTAACAATAAATATTTTCTATATCGCCACAGAGCAAATGATGGTTCAACATATTTCTTCAAAGACGCACAGTATTATCGTTTCAATGACAGTCAACGTCAGGTCGACATAGGCTACCCGAAACCTATTTCGTCATTCTGGAAAGGAATCCCAAATGATATTGGAACAGTATTGCGCTGGTCAAACGGTCAGACATATTTCTTCAAGGATAACAACTACTACAGGTTTAATTTCACTCGCGGTGCAGTGGATGATGGGTATCCACGCAAAATATCAGGAGCCTGGAGAGGAGTTATGTACAAGACAAATTCTTTGTAACGTTTGAGAAAAATTGAAATGACGTTATGATACAAAGTGCAAAATAAATAAAATACAATGGATTATAAATGGAAAATGTCTGTCTTACCCTTCATCGCAGTTGTCATTGGCGCTTTTTTAGAAATCAGGTTGATATTTGGTATATTCGACGCGGTGACTTTTCAATTCATTTCTACGATTGACTAGTAAATTTTCAAGTCTTTACATTAATGAAATTGCGTTATACGTCAACTATAACAAATCTATACAAACTTCACTCACGCTACAAACTTCGTGGCGTGGAACCTTCGTTAGAAACGTCGAAATTGCGCTTATATTCTTCAGGTGCTTGCATGTCCTTCACAGTTTTTGCTATTTTGTTTTGCAATTTCAAAGTTGTAACGAATACATTAACAGTTATTACAATAAAAATGAACGATCAGGATTCTGTCGAGTAATTCCAACAACAAAGTAAACAACAAAAAATTTAAAGCATTTCAGATGCAAAGGAAATAAAACCAAGACATCGTTACAACAGGCTCAGAATTTGACAATTATTTTCATCAGTCGATGTGTACTTTGATATCTAGGAATATGATGGTTACTGTTCCGACATCCTTGCAAAAATAACCGAACCAAAGAAAAAACACCGAAATCGCTGGGGAGCCTCGCAAGGTCGCGTCTCCAATTGGATGGGGTTTTTCTAAAGAACGAAGCAATGCCATTGCTCTGAACACAAAAGCAATTGTCGAGTCAATGGAAAGCACTCTTCTTGAGGCACTGCGAGGCTACCCAAATCGCTACTCGCATATATACACATACACAGAGACTAATATTGTGGAATAAAATGTCTATAAAAGTGGAGCGCCGTAACTGCGTCCACAAACGTGGCCTGACCTAACCTGTTGGCTACTGCCGCCAATAGTAAAATAGACACAACAACTCTTAAAGCAGAGTTTTGTAGGAGATACAACTAGCTGAAGAATATAATAACTTTCAGACGAAGGGCCTTTGCTCAAACCCTCGAGTTTCTTCTGTACAGTTGGTGGTGTCTCTTACACAACTCTGCTGTTTGTACTCACTCCTACCTGCAGTACACTGGTACCGAGCGAGATTTTATCACAGCAACTTTAATATTTCTTTTCATGACAATGTTTACATTTATTAAGAAAAGCACACTTTAGGTTTATTAGGTACATAAAAGCAAGCTTTTATAAACGTAGGTTAAAGAGCAGAAAAATGTTACTTCATTGAAAACCGACGGGGCGGGGTAGTGTATGCATAATGATGTACACTTGCAGTTAGCTCAGTGAACCTGGACAACCTTCTGGGCGAATATTTTCTCTAGTTATGATCAGTTTCAGCAAATGATATTACATCCTTTATTTCATGTACTTATCTCCTTGTTCAGCCAGAAGTTTTGCTGATGATTTCGCATCAAAGAAAAGTTCATTAGTTTCATCAATATCACCTTTGTTTATAATTTCTCTTCCTAAAATAAATTCAGCGTACATGGAGATATTAGTGAGGATTTCGCTACCACTACCTTTTACTGACTACAAGTACGCATGTGATTGGTTAATCGGGGAGATTAAACGTATCTGATCGGTTAGCCCCTAATTAAATACAAGAATGTACCAAACATGATATATTCATAATATGTGTCTAGTACGAAATCAGAGCTAGCGAGACGTTCTTTTAGGAATATCCTTCCTTGGGCATGCAACCGCTTCATAACGTCTGGAACAATTTTCGGACGGTTTTTACAGTATTACTCAGATTTTATTGTACATATATTCTTCTCGACCTATGGACTCCTGAAAGTGTGACACAACACTCATGAAGTATACATTACATTTAAACTTCAAATTTTAGCTTTTAGGTTAAAAACTGAAAAATGTAATCAATTTTAAAAACATAAAACAAGGCCACTGCTTGAAAAGTAAACACGGCTTATAATCATTATCATAGAAAATCACAATATATTTAACATACCGTTAATCCTTGCAAGGAAATGTGCTGGAGTTAGCAGTTGTACAGCATATCTACAAGGAAAAAGTATTTCATGCATTAACAACTGACCCAATAACAATCTATTATGATGTCAGTATTGGAGCACGTTGATCTTTACAAATGAAGTGAGGTTGAACTTTTTTCGTAATATAACATTATTTTATATTTGCTGAACTATCAGCCAATGAAGGTTTCTAACCTCAGTGTTGTTTTAGTTCCAGTTTCTCCAAGTGATTGCAAGGATTCTTCATCAATCTGTATTCCTTCAATCTGAGCTCGTATCCTGAGAATCTGGACAGTTTCCTCCAGGGCATACGGCATTGTGCGAATGATCATGACACGATCAAGTAGATCCAATGGAATGCCATGTGGAGAAATAATCTCAGTACCTCTGTGGAAAATAAATATACAATGATTGCTAGTAAAAATACTGAAATTTACATCTGTATTTAACGGATATAAAACAAACCAGACATAGTACTACAGTGCGGTGCGCCGGAGTGTGCGCAAAACAAGTACACCACAAGCGCGAACACATACTATTTCCAATAAATACCAAGGCTTGTGAGTTATGAATGTTATGATTCCGAACAAACTCACGGCACAGAATAAGGCACACAGAAGGGCCACTTACGTCGGAAGCTTTGAAATTTCTGTCACCCTGGCCGCCATCTTCCTAGCCAGTCGATTACATTTTCTGGCCAATGAACGCGCTGTATTGGCTGGCCGCCATCTTCCTAGCCAGTCAATTGCATGTTTTTGCATAGAAAAATGGGGACACGTTGCACCGCTGAGTGGCCCTTCTGGTACTGATCTTTATTCTGTGCTCACGGACTATATGAGACTATCACGCAACGAATATACAGTGATGCTAAACTTCCTTTTGGCACCGCAATCCACTATTTCTAACAGTCATCGAGTACAAATCCTAAGCGAGACCGCCAGACGGGTGGGTTCTGGGACCGCAAGCAAAAACAATACATGTTACGCTCACAATTTCCTTATAATCGATTATCTAAGCTTTACTGTATAACGAGTGAAACTGTGACATTACTGTCTCAAATCTGATAGTTATTAAGATTCAACAAATATATACACAGTCGAATCGAAAGAATATACAATATTTTACAGATTGAGAATTGATTTTGTTGCAAAAAGTCAGTGAACATTTGCGACATGGTAAGGGAATTATTACCTTACTGTACAAGATCCACGGTTTGTTGCAAAGATAACAATTGGTGCAAGAGATGATTCGAGAGCACGATGGAGATACGTGAAACATTCTATATCCAACATATGTACCTAGTCAAGGAAACAACCATGTTAGAAATACATCCTCAGCGTTTTGTAACCATGCTCAATTCTCTCCATTTTACAATGCATATAATATAACCTCAGTTCTAAGGGCTGTTCATATGGAGCCAGGCTAGCCCGGTTAACCAGGATGATTCATTAATAAAGTTCTTATCACGGCTTTGATAAACATAAAAAAAATGATATTTCAAAGTTGAATTAGCTTAGTTTGATTCCAGTAACAATATAAAGTTCATTCAAACGATCTTTTATGTCTGGAAAAATTTTCTTGGCACGATTCATCCCAGCTAGCCTGGCGCCATCATATGAACAGCACTTTACTTGGAAATGTAGTGATTCATCCCAACTAGCCTGGCGCCATCATTTGAACAGCACTTTACTATGAAATGTAGTGATTCATCCCAGCTAGCCTGGCGCCATAATTTGAACAGCACTTTACTAGGAAATGTAGTGATTCATCCCAGCTAGCCTGGCGCCATCATATGAACAGCACTTTACTAGGAAATGTAGTGATTCATCCCAGCTAGTCGGGCGCCATCATATGTACAGCACTTTACTTGGAAATGTAGTGATTCATCCCAGCTAGTCGGGCGCCATCATATGAACATCACTTTACTAGGAAATGTAGTGATTCATCCCAGCTAGCCTGGCGCCATCATATGAACAGCACTTTACTAGGAAATGTAGTGATTCATCCCAGCTAGTCGGGCGCCATGATATGAACAGCACTTTACTTGGAAATGTAGTGATTCATCCCAGCTAGTCGGGCGCCATGATATGAACAGCACTTTACTAGGAAATGTAGTGATTCATCCCAGCTAGTCGGGCGCCATCATATGAACAGCACTTTACTTGGAAATGTAGTGATTCATCCCAGCTAGTCGTGCGCCATGATATGAACAGCACTTTACTTGGAAATGTAGTGATTCATCCCAGCTAGTCGGGCGCCATGATATGAACAGCACTTTACTAGGAAATGTAGTGATTCATCCCTGCTAGTCGGGCGCCATGATATGAACAGCACTTTACTAGGAAATGTAGTGATTCATCCCAGCTAGTCGGGCGCCATCATGTGAACAGCACTTTACTAAGAAATGTAGTGATTCATCCCAGCTAGCCTGGCGCCATGATATGAACAGCACTTTACTAGGAAATGTAGTGATTCATCCCAGCTAGTCGGGCGCCATCATGTGAACAGCACTTTACTAAGAAATGTAGTGATTCATCCCAGCTAGCCTGGCGCCATGATATGAACAGCACTTTACTAGGAAATGTAGTGATTCATCCCAGCTAGTCGGGCGCCATCATGTGAACAGCACTTTACTAAGAAATGTAGTGATTCATCCCAGCTAGCCTGGCGCCATGATATGAACAGCACTTTACTAGGAAATGTAGTGATTCATCCCAGCTAGTCGGGCGCCATCATGTGAACAGCACTTTACTAAGAAATGTAGTGATTCATCCCAGCTAGCCTGGCGCCATGATATGAACAGCACTTTACTAGGAAATGTAGTGATTCATCCCAGCTAGTCGGGCGCCATCATGTGAACAGCACTTTACTAAGAAATGTAGTGATTCATCCCAGCTAGCCTGGCGCCATGATATGAACAGCACTTTACTAGGAAATGTAGTGATTCATCCCAGCTAGTCGGGCGCCATCATGTGAACAGCACTTTACTAAGAAATGTAGTGATTCATCCCAGCTAGCCTGGCGCCATGATATGAACAGCACTTTACTAGGAAATGTAGTGATTCATCCCAGCTAGTCGGGCGCCATCATGTGAACAGCACTTTACTAAGAAATGTAGTGATTCATCCCAGCTAGCCTGGCGCCATGATATGAACAGCACTTTACTAGGAAATGT